GAAGTACAGCAATGTTTTTTTACTATTCTCAAGTAAAAAACATATAGAGCAGGTAAAATAGAGTACATTTTGACATTCTAACATAATTTGGATGGATTTTGACTGAGTTATGAATTTTTTAATTTTATTAAAAAATAGGCAAAAATGAGTTACTTTAACTAATATGCGTTTTCACTAGGTTTGTGGAACTGTTTTGAAAAACAAATGTTGCCAGAAGATTCACCGTAGTCGATTACCTATGTTTCCATTCGTTTTTGAGATTACCATATCTAAAGAAATATTGATCCTGGGGCTTCGAGGAAATCCGATGCCACGCCTAAACCACAAAAAACTGAGAGTTCGCTTGATTCCCATTTTAAACAGAACACTTTGGACTATCTACATATGAAAAAAAAATCGATAGATTGCCGGTTTAGTTTTGAGAAATACGAAGTGGTTTTCCAGAGATCCTTTGAAAACTCCATCTTTAAAATTTTTCCGAAACGAGTTTTTGCTTATGAAAACGTAGCTTAAAGTATTGGCTATCGAATATTGAAAACTACATATTAATATCTTGCGTTGTTCACGACTTATAAATAAACTTAACTCAAACAAAAATCGGGAACGAACGGGTTAACTGAACAATTGATCCAATTATTTCCGACTTAATTGCACCGATGCATGTCTACTTCCAAACTGATCAACATTTATCTATTTAAAATTATTTTCACAGACTTGAAATGATTAGAACTGGAGACATTTGAGTACAATCTTTTTCAACATTAAAAAATATAGCAAAATATTTTTTTTTATTATTAAATAAATAATTTTACCTGGTGCTGATTTACATTCGAACGGTAATTGTTCTAATCCTTTCTCGCATAAAACTTGAATAATTGTATCATACGATGGACATTCACAGTAGGTTGTTTTTAATAATAGAGCACTATCCGCTAATTTCTTTTTTGCTAATTCTGGATTTAATTTTTTTAATGAATTTAAGACAGGTGGTGGATAGTCGGATGAAGGTGGTGTAATTGTAGCAGCATGTGCTAAAGCGACGAGTAATGATTGTTCGGCTAAACCAATGCGTAATTTTCCTGTTAATGATCGAACCAAATAGCGACTTTCATACGATTGACAGGACACCAATAAACATTTAATGATATCAATTTTTTTATTTTGACTCTAAAATAAAATGTAACATAGTTATTTAGAAAGAAATACTAAGTGAAAGAGAAAGATAAAACATACTGATTGTCCAGTCATTTGTGCAATTTCTTTTAGTTTTGTATAAACAATTGAGACAGTTAACGGTTTTGGTTTAAACATTGTTCGTTGAGTACAACGAGATGTCTAGAATAAAATAGATAAGTACATAGTTTAAGTATTAAACAGTCTAAATAATCAAATTTATAAATGATTGTTATCTTCTGTATTCCACTCGTTTTGTGTAAACTCACATATTCAATTGTCAAAATCATTTTTTCTCACGATTGTTAATATTTACAAAAGTTTTACTAGAATCTTTCGTCACCTACACTAATCAAAAGGTCGACCAAGATGATTAAAAAAAAAATCTGATTTAACTAAAGTCAATTGAGTATGTCGACTATGGTTGTAGTTATTTCACCTCTACTTTGCAATAAAAGAAAGAATCATCTTAAAATTAAAATTTTTTTATATTTAAAATTAATTGAAAATCATTTTTATTAATCATCAATTTTCAAAAAGTATATGATCTTCAAGAAAAATAAAATGATCACTTACTTCGGCTACAAGACCCAAATCTCCTTGTGTATGAAAGTCGGTTTTTAATTTTTCGACTGTTCGTCCTGTAAAAAAATATATTAGAAAGTATTAAGAAAAATAGGATAAATATAATTTGATATTCATCATTTATTACCTGTACTTTGTCCAATTGCTTTCATAATAATTGTATCACCAATACCTAATTCAAGTCCATAATACTCTGGTGCCAATTTATTTAAACATAGATAAACACAATATAATAAATCATGTTTACTCAAACATAAAACAGAACGATAGAAATTTGTTAATATACGAATAATTTCTAAACGTTTTGATATACATTCGATTAAGTATAATGTTTTTGATAAAGCAGAATATGGAACACTAAAATGTAAAACATAGAATAGAAAATCTCTTTTGAATTAATTAAAGTCAAAATGTTTTATGAATAACATTCAATATCTTATTTGATTAGTATATTTTGACAAATCCTACAACCATAAAACAGAATTTGAAAGAATAATTATATATATACGTACTTTTCTCCATACTTCCAACATGCATCATTAATCGGATGATAATGTTCTTTATCCGGTTGATAATCTTTTGAATCGATAATTATTCTAAAATGAAAAATTAATAAAGAAAATAGTAGAACAGATCAAAGATCTCATTCTATTACAGTTACACTCAATATGACCGGTTAAAGTCAAAAATAAATAAAACGTTTATCTTTAGATATTCATAGGACAGTAAATAGTAATTTCTTAAAAATTTTGAAAATACTAAATCATATATCCACTGCTAAAACATCATGGTCGATTTTATGGATTCGATTAGATATCTTCATGTCTGTGTAACTGCATGCCACTATAGTAAACAATAGTTTGAGTCGACATAGCCATGAAGATTTAATCCGACTCGATAGAAGAACGAAGTTTCAATTATAACACACAAGAACAGAAACTATAAGAAATTACGATTGACCAATTGTTTCGTTGAATTAAACTGACAGAATTTGACTATGATATTTTTCACAGACAAAATTAAACTCAATCGTATCAGATTTTTTACACCTTTTAACAAAACATAATTCTAAGACAGTGAGCGATGAACTAGTTTTTTATTAAACGATCTCCTTGTGATACTATAAAGTATACTGACACATTTTGTTCAATTGTTGGTATTGTTGTTGTTTCTACTATTTTTGTTTCATCTGACGTTTTAATTTCTGTTGTTGTTGTTATTTCTATTTGTTCTAACTTAGAATCAATGGATTTTAAGTTTTCAATTTTCGATTTTTTATTTTCCTCTTCGTCGCTGTCATCTTTTTCACTTAAAACACGTTTGAGAACACGTTTTTTTTTCGGTGATATTGTTTTGTTTTCGATGCTAAAAAAAAAAAGAAAAAAACCTAATAAGATACAAAATATTTTTCTGTTAAGTGATTTGTTGCTCTAAATTAAAGTTTCTTCCACGTAGAAACATCCTCGAAACGACAACATTCTTGAGAAATGTACATTTCAATTCTATAGTTAATTTCTTTCTTGATGAAGCTGTACCTATTTGCTTTTGTTGTCGTTAATGATCCATTCGTACCAAAAAATGAACTAAATGTACAGGAAAACGTGATCGTTCAGACAGTTGAAAATAAAATACAACAACTTGAAACGTACGCTATTGTTCGTTGAGTATTTCCAGTTGATGATAAGGAGTGGGAAGACGTTGGAGAAATACCATTTGCTCCAAAAAATGATCTAAAAGAAACGCTATATAATGTGTCAACAGTCACAGAACACGTCAACAGAATAAGCTCAAAGAAAATCTAAAACTATACATGTTTTATATATATTTGATGATTGTAGTCAAATAAACAAAACCGAGTATATTTTAGTCTTTCTTAAAATAAAAGTATATTTTCTTACTTTATTGATGGTTGATTATTCGTACTCATATTCGATTTGTACCGTAAAATAACAAAATATAAGAGATCGTTTTTAAATAAACGTCTAAAATACATAATAAAAATACAAAAAACAAGAGCAATATGGAAGTACAAATAACAGGACGCTATTTAAACGATCTGAAAATTTTAGAGAATAACATATTATGCAGTTTTCGAACATCATCCTCGATTTATAAAACAAAATAACGAATACGTCAGAATAAACGTCCCCTTCGATATTTCCTCAACATCTCTTTCAGTTTTTATCACTCGGACTTCGTATTTTCCATTCAATTTACTACAAGAATCTATACTTCATTTTATATCTGTATGTATAGTGTCTTTTTCAGATAATGAAAAGTAAAGATCTTCAAAAAAGCGTCTTTTTAAAACACGAAATAGGTGATGGTGGTGGAAAAATTTCAAGATTTGAATGATAGTTTGTGTTTTTGAACAATCAGAAGATGTTCCAGAATGATCCATGAGACCTGCTCAATCCAACTATGTTGACCTCCACACCTTGTTCGTATCAAGAGAACGATACAAAAAGTAAAGACTCGATTGAAACGGAAGAAGTATCAGTTTGAAAATTGGCTAGTGAATTAGATATTACCCAGACAAGTGTAAGATGAATACTCCAGAATGATTTGAGATGTCGGTGACACAAAAAATAATCGAACCACTATACATCGATAATCATAGGACCAAATGAAAAATGTTTACAAACTGAATAAGAATAAATTTTCGAAAAGCAAAAACAATAAAAATCCCTTTGTCAACTGAAAAAAGATTATAATCACAAGACTCTTACGGATAAAGTGATAGGCTAAACTTATTCAAGCCGGTTGAAGGATAGATTCGAGTCTACTGGGTCTTAGTAAAATTTGTAGAAATGAGAAGTGAAATACTCAGAATAATGGAGACAGATTTCTAGAAACAGCATCTCTCAGCAGGCCCTCAAAATTTTCTCAGAGGTATCTTCAAAATATAATATAGCTGAAAACACAATTGAAAGTCTCAAGTTTATTTTCAATAGGACAACTTCTCATAGTTCTCAGTTGGTCAAATGCGGATTAAGGCTGCCTGCACTGTCTGCTGAAACGGACATAGCTCTAGTGAACGGGATTTCGTTATTTGAAAGTACACAGTATACGGTATATACGGTACCATTTTCAAGTCTAAGTCAACCCTAGAGAATGTACTTAAAATTTACTTCTGCTTGCGGATTGAAGTCGGTATTTGCCCTTTTACCAGAAGTAAATTTAATTGTAAGTGTATTCCTCACTTAGCATATACTTGCCAAGTAAAATTAAAAGTATTTTTGCTAAAGACGTCATAACAACAAAACTAAATATTACAATCTTGGAGAAGCCCTTGTAAAAATATACAGCAAATGCGTAATTTTGAAAATACTTGTCAGTTCTCCTTGTCTAGATATTCATCAAATAGTCAAGTACGTACTAAAGAAGTGTTATCATCGAGCTACGTGCGTATAAATAGTTGAGATTTGTCGTACCGGCTACTTTAAGATTTTTTACAGTGTTTTGTAAACTCTCGGGAACGTTTTAACTGTTAAACAGCACTTTTCCTAGAATTCATAAAAATCTCGCCTTTAGGTAGACACCATATCTGACCAAATCATTTCCAATATATCAAATTTACAACTGAAACGGGGCATGGAAAGCTCAGGATTTGATTCTGATACAGAAAAAGGACAACAATCTACAACAATAAATAAAAAGTGACATGTAAATAGAATTTCTTTTACTCTTCGCTCACTATTGTTTATCATTACTCTTTCGTGATTGGTAGGCACTGCTAAACCATTAGAAAGTCGCATGCAGTAAAGTAAAACAGAATCAGTTCATGGCAGAGTGATAAGTGTTTTATTGATAAACCGCCAGTAAATAATTATATATATTGCAAAAGTGATAAAAAATTCAAATTTTCTGTGAAATTTCTAACGTAGAAAGCATGACAATCATTTAAATCTTTGGTACTTATATCCACCATCCCGGCGGGAAGTTAATGTACATAATTTTTGTCAGCAAGGACCTAAACTCTTTTCTCTTTCTCAGATTATAAAGTTTTGCAGCTGCATGACAAAAAATCAGTTTGATCATCATCCAAATCAGTCACAGTTTGCCTATGGTAAAGAGCCATTCAGAATAGCCACAGAATTAAACTTCAGCTAAGTTTCTCAACTCCGAACTGTTCTCGTAAATAAGTCAACTGGATGATGTTCAAAAAGTCCATTTTCTGAATTTTAGCTCATTCAGCACGTTATTTTTGTCAATATCAGAATTTTTTCTCTTTTTCGGGCGCCAACAGAAGTGTTTTACCAAATTGCTTTTTATCGTACATATCAAACCAGTGGAAGTTAAAGCCTACGTAGCCTCATGATTCTGTCGCCTATTATACGCTTATATAGAATATTGCACACCTATAAGATATGGTGTGATTATTCTATGTAAGTATTAAATCTTCGATTAATCTCATTTCTTTTAACTCATTTATAGGTTTTTCCGTATGTGGGCGAAATAATATTATCCATAAAAACAGGAAAGTCTATGTTTTTTGCCACTGATGCTTTCCACTAAAAAAGCTGTGGAAACTGATGTCAATAACTATTTTTAGTTTGTTATGTGCGTATGAATTGAGATCATGTTAAGAAATCAACATTAGCTTCATTATTCGGAACTAAACGAACATAAATCACTGCTATCTATTCTAGATGAAAAACTAAAATTGTTTTCTTTGTTTTAATAAAACGGAAAACGAACAACAAAACAAATCATGTCGAAATATTCACTTAATAGTGTGGTAAGTCGTACAATTGTTTGATTTATAGCTCAGAAACGAGTGAAGAAAAGATAATGTTTTACTTATGCCTGTAAGATGTTGTAACTTGTGTAATCCTCTCTTTGTTTGTTTAGCGTCATTATTCCTCACTACCAGCGACAAAACTTCGACAAAGTACCAGATTAGCGCGTGTCAATTTACCAAAAGAAAATATTAATGTAAGGAGACATTTTTCTCTATGGATATTAGTAAAAATGATAGAAAATAGAATAATTTTCTTCGGTAAAACTGTTCTTTTGTGTAAAACGTTTCACATGAAAGTTCTCAGTTGTCACAATATCAAAGAAGACTTTATAGTTTGTTTCTCGTTTTAGGTGACAAAATTAGACAATGGTCTTGTTGTTACATCATTAGAAAATCATTCTCCTGTTTATCGTATGGCAGCTGTTGTTAAAGCGGGAGCACGTTATGAACCATACGACAGCCGAGGCGTTACAAATTTTTTAAGAGTTTATTCAAATCTAGTAAGTAGTACTTCAAACATACAAAAATGGATTTTAATAATAAAAAAAGGGCTAAAATCATGGTTTAAGAGTACAAAAATCGCAACTCTATCCAGTTTTATTTTTTCACATTTCAACAGATTATGCAGACGTTGGGTTTTGTGGAAGAAAAAGAATGTGAACTACACCATCGTACGACATTTTTTCCTAAATGAACGAAAAATGAATATTGAATTTTAATAAAAAACGACATCATTACAGTACATAATTCGAGTTTATAATGGATTTTTAACAGAAACTCTTTTGTACTACATTAACCTTTTTTTGTTTGTTGTAAGATAAAAAAATATGACATCATATTTACGTTTTCTTTGTTTTTTAGAGCACAAAATATGTAAGCCGATTAGGTTTGACAAAAAATCTGGAGAGATTGGGTGCCAGTTTTAAGTAGGTTCTATTCATCTGTTATGGTTTTTGATTTTGATTGTACATTTCGTATTCCGTTTCAGATGTATTCAAACACGGGAAAATATGATTTATTCATTGGATGGACTAAGAACAAACTTGTACGTATATGAGACTACAACGAAAAGAAAAAGTTTTTCTTGAACAGTAAACATCGATGATGGGACTGTACGAAATATCTCTGTACATTTTATAATTCTCATCTTGTCTTATATTTTAGTGTACATGGTGCTCAATTTCTTGTTCCAGTTGTTTCTTGTCCACTATTTAAACCGTATGAAATCCATGATGAGAAAGCACGAATTCAAGTTGATCGAGATCTATATTTACAAACACCTGAACTTCGTAAGTTACATTTTTTTAGTTGAAATTACGTGATATCGAAAATAAGTAATGTTTGTATTTCTATTCAAGAATTGAATGATATTCTTCATGAAGCAGCATTCAAAGGTGGTCTCAGTCGTCCGTTATCAGTTAGTGATGAAATGATCCATAAATTAAACCATAGACAGGTACATAAAAGGCTTACATTGTGCGATTATTAACGCATCAATTTTGAGCACAAACTTAATTTTTATCTTGGCATAGAAGATTTTCACGTGTGGTCAATATTTCTTTGTTTCTGTTCAGATGTATGCGTTTCATTCAAAATATTTTACACCAGACCGTTTATCATTAGTTGGAGTGGGCTTAAATCATAATGTACTTGTACAATTGGCTGACAAATTTAAATTTACTCAAGAAGAAATTATGCGTACACCTGGATTTGGAAATGTAACTCCGATTGAAAATGAACCGGAACCAGTGAAATATAAAGGAGGTTAGTACGATTTAAACTTGAATTAGTTGAAAGTGAGTATTTATATAACGTTATCGAGTCTTTTTATTTCATTCGTCCATGCTATACCGAAAACATTTGGTTACTTTTTCCATGTATTTCATTTGACTATTCATACCAATTCCTTCCATTCAGTTATCTAACATGATACATTTGTACGTAATCTGTACTCAATCAGTTTAGACAAAATAGTATTTTACGTGTTTTCTTACTATATGACTTTTTTATGCTTATTTATTTAGGAGAAATTCGAACTAATCAACACTCAGGCCTTGTGCATATTGCACTTGCATTTGAAGGAGTCAGGTACAATGTTCACATTGAACTTATACTATTTACATCTTCCCATAAAAAATCAATTCATCCACCCACAGTCAACATTTTATTTTTGACAATGTACACGATATGCGACAAAAATTCGTTGTGTCCGACAGATTTGCCTACTTCAGTCTGAACATTAAATTTGAATGTTTGATCTGAAATTATGTGATGGCTATGATATTTTTAATTTTAGTTGGCCAGACAAAAATCTGTTAGCTAGCGAATTAATTGGACAAGTTTTGGGTGATGGACCACATATTAAATGGTCAACAGGCTCATCGAGATTACAAAAAGCGGCCAATGCTGTTGCTGATAATCCTTGCGTTGTATGTTTTGTACAATTGTTCTCACTGTATAAAAATAAAAAAAATTCGAATCAAAGGTTCTCTTCTGAAATAGTCTAGCGAAACACATTTCGTAACCTCCTCTTCAAGCTACCCATACTTCTCAAGTAGTCGTCGTTATCAGCAAGTTGAATACTTCTCTCAATAGGATTGAATAAGAGCATCTTTATGCTGATATATATAATGCGTAAAGAAGTGTGTTTTTCTTTTGTTTTAGGTATCATCATTTAATCTTCATTACACCGATACTGGTTTGTTAGGTATTCACATAATGTGTAATAAAAACGATGCAGGAAAGGTATGTAGGTGCGGTGCACGGACCAAATGAAACTGAAAATATTTATGTAAAAATAGTTATTCTGCTTTTATTTCTTGTTTAAAACCTTACCAACGTTGGTAACCTTACCAACGCTAGCGGACAAAAATGTGAAAACTTTCTTCTAGGTATACACATAGCCTAATGAATATAGTGAAGAGTCACTGTTTAAAGAAGTATTCTTATACAAACGTATAAAAATAGTTGACGTTCTGAACAATGAAAAATAAAATAAGAAAAATGCATAGGAAATAAGACAGTATAAAAACAACCATTTTGCCCCTAAAATCTCCTTTAAACTAAAAACTTCGTTTTCCCTTTTCATGAAAGAAAACACTAAAAGTTTTCAGAAAAGGTAATTGTTTAAAGATACTTTTCTCTTATTAGGTTGTAAAATCTGTGTGGAGTGAATTTACAAAATTAGCTAAAAGTGGTCTTAATGAAGAAGAATTGAAAATAGCCAAGTAAGACTGAATTCTAGCTGATTAATTTTTCCATCCTAATGATAATATTGTTCTAAATTACCTAATGCGATTTATGATTCAGTATTCATGTGCATAGTTAAGAAGAAAAAATTCTCTATGATTCAAGCAAAACTGACGATCTACTTTTTATTACTAATATTTAATATTGTCGTTCTAGAAAAAAATTGCAAGTGAGCATAAATATGAAAATGGAATCAACTGATTTTCTATTAGAATCAATGATATTGAATCCAGAACATTCTGATGAAACAAGTAATTTAGATACAATAACAAGTGAAATTCAACAATTAAACATAGACCAAATAAATCAATTTACAAAAAAATTATCTCTTAGTAAACCAACAATGGCCGCTATTGGAAATTTGAAAACTCTACAGTATTTAGATGATCTAAGACAATAGAGACAATACATGTATTATCAGAGTTTACTTTATATTTTTCTCTAATTTATAGACAATTCTTTTTTTTAACTTAGATTATAGCAAGAAAAAGTCTCTCTCATACACACCATTAGACATACAATTTAAAAACAATACAACCATATCGTATTTTTTTTATTATTAAAATTCATCATCAGCCGTTTTTCTCTTTCCAATCTTGTGTGTGTATATTTAGAAGTCAAAAATAAAACAACATCCTCCTAAAAAAAACAAATTTGAAGTGATATAGAAAGACATTTAACGGTGCAATTTATTTCAACTACATTAAGAGGACAATGTTCGAAAATTTGACGAGTTTTGAAGCCTTTCGTAGAATAGAAAGAAGATTCATAACAAGAGGTCTATCTTACAAACCAAGCACAGACGAATGAGTACTGTGGTATTTCGAATTTTGCAAAGTATAGAGTCCTCTCTCAAGTTAACTTTCTTATCATTGTCTCGCCATGAGTCATGATAAAATGTCACGTCAACTACACGTATCGCTATCATATTATGATCGTGAGACAAAAGTTACATTCCATGATCGTGGTTCTGTTCTTGTCCAACAATGACTCCACTAAGTTCGCGATTCTCATGTCAGGATTATTATTTATTTACTGTTATTGTACCCCTGTCATATATAAGCCGCATATGTCATTCTGTAATCGTGCTTGAATTGCGAAGCCGCGTCATGATCATGAATTATACTCTATTTTCATGACACAAAAGGATAGATTAATCGTTTTACAATGGTTATCTACAACTGATTTTTCACACCCTTCTTTTTTTACTAAAACTGCAATCCGATTCAATCTTTTAAATTAAGAAGTTTATATAAGCCGACAAAGCTTAAGTAATTGAAATGAAATTTTAGAAGAATAAATATGTCACAGATGAACTGAATTTACACCATGTTTTTCGAAAAAAATCGTATTATACTGCAAAATATCAGCAATACCGGCTGACTGATTATACTTCATACTAATGCCGGTATACCGGTCGACATTATATTCGTACCGGTACCGGTATACCGATACCGATTACACCTCTGATCACAATCACGACTGCCTCGAAATACTTCTCAATATACGAAGTCATCGAAATGGCAAAGCAAAAACGAGCTCATAGCGATCCTGACGTAATTTGCCGATCGCGTATCGAGAACCGCGATAGCCCCAAAAATAAAGTTGATCTAGACTATCAAGACTTTGGATAATAATTTCGTAATGACAATTTGACAATTGTAGAATATATCTCCTTCATCTACAACACTCTGGTTTTTAGATCCTATACTTTTAGATGGAAATGTTGTTGATTACAGTGATATTATAATAAATATAAGTCATCTGAACAAAAAAGCCTGAAGTACTCAAGCTCTGTGAGCTGCAATAAGGCGCTACAATCTATCGCATTTGATGTCTAAACTCGTAATAGTGGTCATAGTTGAATATATTATATTGTATACTGTATAAATTACACTGTGTGAACAGATTCGAGTGATCACTATATTTATACAAGAAATTAAAATGGAAGAGTTTGTATTTCAATTTTTCATTGGAGTTCGAGGAGACCAGTTAAGTGGAATATGTCTTTCCATCGTTGATAATATCACATTATGTTGAAAAAAAATCGAAATACGTATTAGTAAAGAAATAGCAGTAGTCGTAAAAGGTTTGTTATATCTTTCTGAGTGAGATTTTGCTGCTTTTGCTTACTAACGCGTAAGTTATCGATTCGTACCACAGCAGTTTTCTATGGTCGTCATAGACATTCTGCCCTGCTATCTTTATTAATAATTTACCTTTTAGCTAGAAAGGGACTAAAAGGTTGACAGAAAGCGATAAACAACAATCGTAGGAAAAGCGATCAAGAAGAAAACAAAACGCTTTCTTTTAAACTTAGACCGTTTGAAAAAATTGTTTGAGCCAGTAGTGCAACCAGGATGCTTTTATGGCTTAAGCAAATCTCTACTGAGGCAAAAAAGAGAATTGAACATAAATAGGATAAATAGGTGGAACTTTTTTCCGCGAGGGAAAGTGAAGGTCAAAATACTGACGAGAAGTAAAAAATCGAGTGAAAGTCTGCTCTTTATTTTATTTTTAGTGCTATCTTTTATATTTTATTAATCTTTAGAGACAAAGACCGTTGTCTCTGTTTAAAGACTTGCGCAGTACGTGGGGAAACTAATTCTAAGCTTTTAACCCTTACAGTTTTGGTAAATGTGTGTTGCTCAAAAGAAATATGAATGGTACCTAGTATTGTCTTAAATTTTGTCTTCTGTCTGTATGGAATGTACAACAATGAGTAATTATTCAAATGAACGTTATGGAGGTATATTTTCACTTTAATTTAGATTGAAAACAGAGAAGTAACAATGTTGATTTCGTTTAGATCATCGACACCAGTCAGCTAACCCATTTTCAAGTGGTGGTGTGGGCGACAATAACGATGACGAGGAGACACAACAACAACGTATGAACTGGCTAAAAAAACAATTAGACGTTGAACTCAAAGTATGACAGTTTAAGAGTATTTGTAATGTGTATGCTACTTTTCTCTTCTGTCTACCTATTCTCAGGTCAAAGCGGGAGCCGAGACAATTTTGAATACGTACAATGGCCAAAGGAAGGAAGCGTATAGAAAAATGTGTGACGAAGCTCAAACGTTGTTAAAAGATGCGAAAGCTAAAGCCGAATATATAAGACTACAAATGAAACGATTAGAAACGGGTATATAAAATGGTTTTACCGTAGTATACTTGTTTGCTAATCAATGATGGATCTTCAGAATGCGTTTTTTCTCTTAGGCTTTCTTGTCCTTCATTATCTTGGTTTATAAGCGTTTTTTCTTGAGTTCTATAGTATATTGTTTATTTTGTCTCTTAGGAAGCGAAAAAGATTCGTCCAATCAGACTGACCACGAAGAAGATCCAACTCAACAACGATTAAATGGACTCAAGAAACAACTCGAGATTGAGCTTAAAGTAGAGAAACATTCCTGTTTTTATTAGAAAAAGAGGATTTATGAGTGGATTCGTTTGTCGCTAGGTGAAAGCCGGTGCTGAAACGTTGTTAAACACTTATAGTGGCCAACGTAAAGAATCCTCACGAAAAATGTGTGAAGAAGCTCAAATATTGTTGAAAGATGCGAAAGCTAAAGCAGAATACATTCGGTTACAAATAAAACAATTAGAAACGGGATCATTAACGAATAACAACAATTCAGATGTTATGAGTATGTTATAGAAACAGTTTTTACTAATAGCGTAGCAATTGTGAGATGTTAATTTTGTGTGAATGAAGTTTAAAATTAGAGGACATTGATATAATATTATTGTTAAAATAAATTTGTTTTTATTCATTCAGTTCAAAAGACATCAACGCTCTGGCCTTCCGAACAACGCATCGAAGAAATTCAACACCATTTATCAATCGAACAAACGATGAAGAAAGGAGCAGAGAATGCTGTCAAAGTGTTGAGAGAAACTGGTGCAAAAAAAGAAGCATTACTCGAAGTAAAAATCTAAGAAGTGAAATTTTATAGTCTACTTATAACTCTATACTAACTGTCTTACTACTCTATTGAAGGCACATCATACACTATTCGAAAGCAAACAACGTATAGCATTACTAGGAGAATCATTGAGACGAAGATTAAAACATCAAGATCAAAGTGAACAACAACGAAGGGAATCAGTATTAACAAATGAAAATAATATAGGAGATCCAGCTACGTCTTATATTATGCCTTTACCAAAACCAGCACCAGTTACTGGAAAATTAGAAGTCAGGTAATCATAGTAAAAACGTATCTGTTAAGCTTGTATAGTGAAGATATGTTGTACATTGTTCACAAAAACAGTGATTTTTTTGTTTCATGGTGATTTCCATACAAATTTACAAAATTTAAGCCGCTTTTTAAGAAGAGTTAAGCTTTTTCGTTTGTACCTATTTAGACTACTTGGTTGTCAAGGTTTATTTGAGGATGCTTTATCACCGGCTGTTAGTAAACGTGATAGTCTGGGTAGTCCAGACACCAAATATCGTACTGTCAAACTGATGCCAGGAAAAACCGAGTTGTCAAGTAAGTAAAAAAATAGATCACATAAACGATTCTTTGCTTACCTGTGTGTTAAAGGAACCTTTTCATCTTTTACAAAACGTTCATCGCAACGTTTTTGTAGTCTGAAACGAATAAAATTTAGTAAGTTCTTCTTTTTGGTATATGTCTGATTTAAATCTTGCTATTTATTTTATGCATCAAAAAAAAGATACACACATACAATATCGGTGCTTTATATTTATTATTTTCACTTAAAGCCTATAGCCTGTAAAGAAAGTTAAAAGTTGTATAGATTTGCTTGTCAAGTTGCATATTTTGTTAAATATTTCGTTTTTTATAGTTGTCTTTCGTTTTTGAGCAAAGAAATCTATTTGTGTCATACTTGAGAGCCATTATATCTGCATGACTTAAGTAATATGACTCATCTGTTTTGTTTATTGCTTATTTCTAATATTTGAAATACGAAACAAAAAAGAACTTCATCATTTCAAGTTGTTTCGCTGCATAACAGAAGGAACGAAACATATCAGTTTTTCCGATATTGAGGAAACGATTGTATTAAAAAAATTTTCAGTTTGCTTCCAGTTGATGTATTGTGTTGGAAAAGAAATTGTTGCAGTATTAGAGAAATTTGTTTGATGTTTGGGGGATTTGTGTATAAAATGTATGAGAGAATAAGTTCAACACTTCTTTCGTATTTTTCTTTTATCACATTACAACTTTTATGTATTTGTGGTATATTTAGATGAGATAAATGCCATTTTACGTTTGGATAATACTCGCGTTGCTGAAACTGGCTTCAAACCTTGTAGTCAACAAGCATGGGATCAACGTTTTACAATTGAATTAGATCGAGTAGGATATTCTTAGTTCTTTATCATAGTGAAAAAACTGAAAAACTGTTTTCATTGACTGTACACATGCATGTTTAGGCTCGTGAATTAGAGATCAATATAATGTGGCGTGATTATCGTAATATGTGTGCAATTCGTTTTTTACGTTTAGAAGATTTTATAAATCAGAATAATATTAGTGGAACGATCATTCATCTTGAGCCGCAAGGAGTGTTATTTGCTGATGTATGTTTGCTTTTTATGTTAAACTAGAAAAAAAAGATTTTGATAGTGTTTCGACATGTCTGAATGTTCTTCTACTCTTTGAAAATACTAGACATACTTGTGCATGAAGTTTTTGTACAAATAAAAAGTTTTGCATTATCAACAAATTTTCACAGCTAAATTTGAAAATCGAGCTGTAATGATTGTCCATTATGTTTTACGTTTAGATCAAATTCATCAATCCATTGATTAAACCAGGACCAAAATTAAAACGGCAAAATAAATTATTTACAAAACGGAAAGGTATGTAAAACGGCAATATATTTCGAACAATGTGTTCTTTCATGACATGTTTAGTTTCTAGGACGAAATTTACCGCGTCCAAATAATATGCGTATCGATGTTACATTATGGTATCGATTAATCACAAAAGGAGTTATAACACCAAATTGTTATGATGCAAATTCAACGGTGTCACCAAACAGTCCGTCACATTGTAAGTTTAGAAACTGATATTTTTTGTTTGAAAAAAAGTAAAATGAGGATTTGTCGTTTGTTTGTTGAAAAATTATTCTGTTGTCTTTTATAACAATGCCACTGCTTTACTATACATACAATTTGTAGCTTAAAATAGACGACAAATGGTCTCGAATGATTAGTATTTCCATTACATGGAAATACTAATGACTTGAACATCTAGAATGTGCGTATATTGCTGAAATAATTTGTTTTTATTTTTTCTAGCCGCCTATGAATTATATGATCAAAAAAATGATACACTAACAAATTTATCACCAACATCTTCCATTTCTATGCCAACAACTCTTACAAATTCACAACGTGACGTGGTATGAATGATCAGATTCTGTTAGCAGATGTTCATCTTCAATAAATTGGATATCATTAGTTAAAAAAATCTGATTGTGCCTTTTTTACTTCTATCTATTAAGGATCCTTTATCTTTGACTCCACCTCATATACGACCAATACAGACAACGAAAGAAACAGGAACAATTTCTTATCCTCAGGAGGTAATTAGTTAATTTTAAGAAAAAGTTCACTTTTCCAATCGTTAGTAGATTATCTGAATTAGATTCTATTACTACAATATCATATGAAACATGCATATTTGTTAAGCAATATCTGTTGTTTTGTAAATGAATAATCGATCACTCAATAACTATGATTTATTTTAGTCTTTAATTCCTATAAATAATGGTTTATCGTCTCAAAGTAAACCAACATCATCATTACAATCTACGCCTTTATCATCTAGTCGTGATATTATTCCTCCACCTGTCGCACGTAAACCAGTGCGACTTTCTCATTCATCATCATTTCAAGCTTCAGATTCTTCATATCCTCCATCAAATATTGATCATGTTCATATGGGTAATATCCATCATTCACAATCTGTCGACAATTATACAATTCTACCACAACCATTAACCTCTGATGAGAATATTTTTGGTCAAGGTCAATCATCATCGATATCATCTCCATTTAATATTTCATCATTATCCTCGATTCTATTGTCGTCAAACGATCGTCTTTCACAACAGTCGACATCTTCCAATCAGCTGCCACAATCGACTACTAATAAATTGTCTGACTCTTCAAACCAACAGATTATTGAAGATAAAGAGCGATCACAAGCAATGCAATCAGTTGTAAAACATTCTCGTAATGTAGATATAACAACAAATGGAAGAAAAAAATCAGTATCAACAGATAAAAGGTGAACAAATAAGTTGGATATCTTTTTTCTTTTGTTTTTATTGTACTTTTAATAGTTTAGCTGATCATTCATTGCTTATCTCCATGTATATTCGTAAATTTTTTGCTAGTTAGTTATTTAATTTTATTTGTTTCTCTTCAGATTTCCAAAAGGTGTTGTTATTGACGCATTTCGGCTTGTTAGTGTACTTGGTAGAGGACATTTTGGAAAAGTAAGTATCCTATTTAATTGTTGACATTCATATAATGAGAACAATAGTAGCAACTTACATAAAGTTTCCTCTTCTATCATTTTTTTAAGGTGATATTAGCTGAATATATATATCGTAAAGGTGATTATTATGCATTAAAAGTATTGAAAAAAGGTGATATATTAGCACGTGATGAAGTTGAAAGTTTAATGTCAGAAAAACGTATATTCGAAGTTATTAATGGTTCTCATCATCCATTTTTAATTAATTTATATTCATGTTTTCAAACACGTGATCATGTGATATTTGTTATGGAATATGCTTATGGTGGTGATTTAATGATGCATATTCATCAAGATATATTTGATGAACAACGATCCTGTTTTTATGCGGCTTGCGTTGTATTAGGTTTAGAATTTTTACATCAAAATAAGATTGTGTATAGAGATTTAAAATTAGATAATTTATTATTGGATAAAGAAGGTTATCTTAAAATTGCTGAGTAAGTGATCTGTAACGTACTTAGGGCTGATCAAAAGTTCGTAGAACGATGTTTAAATTTTTATAAAATACTTAACATCGAAAGATTTATTGCATGAATACTTAGTAAAATGTCTCGTCTATAATTCTAACAGTCTTTTAGAT